CTCTTATCATTATTGCTGTATTGAATAGAAAAATTAGGGTTCGAAATTTTAAATCAAACTTGACCAATTTTCGAATATTAGATTTTCAATTCGTATTGCAATCGACGTGTCAGAGTAAAGAGGCTTTTTCAAAGTTTAATTACATAAAGAGCGTGGGTATTTTTTATGCAATTTGTCATTCATTACATCGATAAATTTTGAAATAATGAATAATAAAAGGAATTCGTTTTTCTTTCAACTTGCACAAGATGCAATTCTTTATTGGCAAGTACATAATTAAGTTAGGAGGTGTGCATGTGCTTACTATAATTAGCGATTACAAAACCTGATAAATCTATTGTCGGAGCGGAATTTAGCGAGACCCAATAATCCAATGAGAGCGTTTGGCTGGACCCTGCATAAAATGATAAAATTGATCAAATAAAATCAGATGCTTATCGTTTTTTTTTGTTATCGTTATTGGCATTTAAGATAAATTCGGAAACTTTCCCACAGTGTATTGGGCGTGGCCGACATTATTGCTTGGGTATGTATCGATGTAATCTCGAAAAAAATGGTTAATAGCTAGGATAATCTATCAAAAAATTGTCTATAAAGGATTGTATGATTGACATAAATGACTAGTAACTACAGACAATAAAAAAAAAATTTTTTTTTCAACCATTGAGCATTTAAAGATTTCTCGCATTATCGATCGATTGGCTAAATTCAACTCCAAATATATGGATATATTAGATTGTTGTATTTTGGTTATTTAAATAATTTAGACAATTTAGGTAAGACGGTTACCTATCAGTAGAAACTTTTGGAAATTATGCAATGCATTTACGTTTTTTTCCGCATTTAATCAAGTCATATATTTTGGATATGTCATATCAACAAACATGTGAAGAAGGACTCGGGAGTTGTTATATAAACAACCTCCGTTAACCGTTTTTTTTTTGTTTTCCAGATAGATATATCTTGAGAATATATCTTGAACAAACTTCAATATATACTAGATAGATTTAATATAGAAATTTGAAATTTCGAACCCTTTTTTTTTTTTTTATTAAAAATCTTTTCAAAAGAATTCTCTTTTTTTAAAGGAATTCTTTCTTTAAGAGAAAAAAAAAATCTTTTTTTTCCTTTAATTTTCTTTTTTTTTTTAAACAAATTTGTTTATTTTTATAATAAACAAGAAATATCGATTGAGTAGACTTCTATTCGTCGAACACACAACACAACACAGCAAAAATGACCCAATTTCTCTTGAGCAAAGGTAAACCTATCGAATATACCAACGAAAACATTCAACCTGAGAAACCTACGGTATTCTCTAATCTGGCAAACATTTCAACTGCTCTTGCCGACTCTATATTATTATTCCTTGGTTTACGACCCTCCGAAAATGACGATCGCACAACACCACCTGCGTCGTCAATAATGATGCGCTATGGCCTGAGTCCTCAGGCAATGGCCTACGTTCAATTTAAAAGCACGCGTCTGAAAGGTTTTAATGAATTTGTAATTTACAAGAATGGGGTGATGCAGCGTGACATAACTATCAACATACGTAGAGATATTGAAGTTGAAGGTAGTTCGGCCTTCCTGCTGACAACGTTCGGCTCTTTGCCACTTTCCGGAATCGATAAAATAATCGGTGGACACCTGCATATTTCAAATTGTGGGAAAGTTATTGCAAAATCAGAAATTTGTAATATTTAGTAAACATTTCAACCTTTTTTTTTTT